GATTCCGTAATTCAGACGTTTGCCGCACGAACCGCGGAAAGGAAGTCCACGTTCAGCACAGCATGAAAGTGAAATGTAAAAATGCGTAAATGTGTTTGTGCGACTTTTGACCAGTTCTAACATCACCTAGGAGGGTATATGTGAACTGTATATTATTTCCATGTTATTGTTATTAGCCCCGAGAAGTTTGAGTGGCTCCTTTTGGCAGCCTGCCGGAGTGAGTCACGGAAACAATTTCTGCCCAGTCGCCTTGCGAACGGTTGGTATTGGCTGCTGATAACTGCGAAGATCCTTTTTGCTTTATTTTTCGACAGCGTGGTTGTATTTTGATTCGTCCAATCATAATCTCATTAAAAAATATCTGTTCTCCCCGTGACCGTCACGGCGGAAACTGTATAGCGACGCTTCTGTTCGTTCTCGCGGCTAATAGCGTTCGTTCATATTTCTTTGTTTGTAAAGTACCATCTAGCGGGTTCGAATCCCGGCCGAGGTGCCCGCAATCTGACGGAGGCTTATTGCGGAGGAGGCGCCGTGGTCCAAATTTCCAAATTCCCAGGTGGTCCAAATTAATCCTCAGTCCTCCGCTGGGGCGTGCCAGATGCCCGTCGTTGGTTTGGCATGTAAAACCCCCAAATTTGACTTTATTTTTTTGTTTGCAAAGTATGCACAAGAGATGTAAATTTTGTTTGTAATTGCGTTAACATCCTTTTCTCGCTGACGTACCCATGCCAATTACTTTTTAAAATGTTATTTTGAGTCTACGATACAAATACGCACATGTCGTAATTTTTTTCCTGTAGCACGTTTACAATATTTGCTTGTTCGTTCCTCCCAGTTGACGGTATCTCACGCGGAATCTTTTTTTTTATGTTTCATAATATCCTATGTGCTGTCTGGAATTCCAATTATGTGATTAGCGAAAAGCTGTGCTACTGCTGAACCTTCCTTTTTTCTACCTACATATATATATACCGGAAGACGTCTGCTGGCTTGGGTGTATACGCGTGTATACATGTATAAATTTTGGTGTTGCTTCCAAGACTGCCTCAGCGACAGGGATACCGTGTCATCGATTTATAGATTTCTCGATGTTAACTCTCTTACGTTTAACTCTACCATGAGTTCTTTCTGAAATTCCTTTCTTAGGTTTTGTAAATAACTGGATTGCTTTGATGTAGAGTTAATTTGTGCCATTAATACGCATCTATCTTTCATATATCGCATTTATTTCCCTCTTCCTTCAAATTACAAACTCCTCTCTGGTATTTGATTTCTCCATAATTACGTGAATCATTTATCAACACAGGAGAAACGTCATCGTGTCAAATAATGTATGTACATAAAAAGACAGTCTGGTCAAATAGAATATCGGTAACAAAAACTTGAGAAAACTTCCAACAAAGGATACATTTCTGTCACTAGCTTTTTAATTATCTGTCGCAGTTAGTGAGCCCACTTGTAGCGTGTTTATATCATCGTCTTATGACGGTGTGTTAACTGTATTTATTTATGTATTCATGTATACGACACCTGTATAATGCCTCCATGAGCCCTCAAGGAAAATACATGTTTATGATGTTTGTGGTAGCATTTTTTTTTTGTTTTTTTTTTTGTTTGCTCCCCCAGAGGAAAAATAGTTCCGGCACCACTGCTACTAGGAAATTCTTTCCCTACTGGTCTGTTGATAAAACGCGATAGTTTGGCAACATGACTTTAGCTGGATAAAAAAATAAGTGAGAAAGCCAAATTTCTCTATGAGCCGACGTCCACCCAAGCCTAATATCGTCAAAACAAACTGACATTCTGGACGGATAGGGGATTTTTATCAGAGAAAAACGCTTGTCACCCAGAGGGGAATTATAATTTTCGGTCTTGCTGGCAAATGCTGTTTTTTTTTTTTCGTTTTTTTTCACTGAAATAGTTGCGGCAGGCGCCCACAATGCCATTTCTCCTTTTGACGATATTAGGCTTAGGTTGATGTCGGCTCATACAGAAGTTTCGACTTCTCACCAGCCAGTTTGACTACGCCACCGCTGCCGCAATGCATCGAGGGAAGTTTAGTCTTTCTGCACGTGCGACAACCTCGCATGGAGCTCTGCACGTGTAGACCACGAGATGGCGTGAGCCCTCGCATGCACGGCCGTCTGCCTCCTGTGAATTAAAGTTATGGCAACGACAACTGATCTCACCCCCGCTTGTTCGCTACAGCGCGAGTGCGGCCACCAGACGTCCATCTTGCATAACGTTTTTTTTTTTTTTTTTTTTTTTTTGTTAGCGTTGCAGAGGCCGGCGGCAGAGTGCTAAAGACATGTTTTCTACTCGTTAGTCGTCATTCGAATGTAGTGCTGCAGCCGTTATGGGATTGTACCTTATTAGAGAGGTTGACTATTGCGTATAGAACCAAACGCAAGCGTTGTGCGTTTGTATTAGAGTTGCATTCTCTATGCTGCGCATGCGCGTCGTCGCCATGCTCCAATTCAAGACCGCAATTTTTGTTTCCACGCACGCGCGGTGTGTAACACGCAACGCTAAAGCGAACACACACTGATTGCGTTCGCTCGTATACGCAATACTGAAACTCTACTGTTTCACCGGCTTCCAACACCAACGAAACATGCTGCAGTGAGCAGACGTGCAAGCGGGTAAGCGTTCCTTCGAAATAGAAAGCCTGAGATTGGCAAAGCGACGGCGCGTAAAAATGAAAGAGACTAAATGTTCTGGAAATAGTGGTAATTAAAAAAAAACAAGAACAAAATACGTATGGCCGGGGGGGCATTGGGTTAGGAAGAAATGGTGGCGACTTTGGAAGTTCTGCCCAATGCCAAAAGTTGTGACTTCGATAGCGTCATCTGCTCTGGCCACAATTAGTGTAATTTTACATCCATTTCTGAAATTCGCTAGAATGTTTTAATTGATTTTATACTATTTCTATTTTATAACTTCTTAATTAAAAATGCTGCAATTATAACCAGTGATGATAATTTGCACATTTTTGATTGCCATACTTGTTCGAGTGTGGGAAATTAAATGATAAGCAACATTAGAGCTTGAAAAACTGCATGTTAAAATATCTTAATGTATCAATAAACACCACGAAATCAAAAATACGTCATTTAACCACTGATAGTTTTTCCAGAAAGATCCCAATTTGTTTTCTTTTTACCATATGAAAAACTCTGACATCGTTATCAACATAGACAAGCAGTCAAGCACTGAATGTAATATACATATAAAGTCCCATGCGTCACGCATTGCTTTAAGAAATACACACATTTCTTGTGTCTGACTTGGATTCCGCTTTTGGGTTTTTGTGATGAGAACAGCGTTTCTTAATTAATACGTTTTGTGAACAAATTGCACACTCATTACCCATGGCGATATTTTGTAAAATTTGGATTAATTCTGTTATTTTCTGCTGGGAATAATGTGAAAGCAATTAAGCAACTAAGTATCCGAAAATCCATTAAAAAGCCAGCAGTTCATTACTTCAGGTAACAATTATATGAGCGAGAAGAGGCAACAAGAATAGATACATCAGCACAGATTTTTTTCAACAAATACGATGTACTATGTCACCCCTTAAGTGTATGAAAGACCTTGTCTTTAAAGGGACACTGAACTCTCCAAATATTTTGAAGTTCCTGAATCGGACATGCATGTCACAAAATAAAGTTTCCGCGAGCAGCTTCTGTAGCTCAATAATTACGCTATGAGACACATTTTGAGTTTGAAAGAAGCCGAAATTAGCACTTATACCGAGAAAGTACATCTAAAATAGAGGTTAGTTTCTGTTTTGTTCCAGAATTAAAACGTTCCTCCGTGCGTAAGTATTACGCTAAACACCATTTTTGTTTTCAGTAGAAAGGGGTGACCTGCGCTCATAACAGCCTAGCTAGCTTCCTCGTATAAACAGGAAAAATCTTTTTACGCTCAGTGAAGCCAGCACACTAGACAGACTCACTCCCCCCTCCCCCCCCCCCCCCCCCCCAGCACGGGTCTCCGACCCTCACTATAACCGCCATTTGAAAAACGAGTGGCGCCACCTATAGTGGATTGGAGTCGCGACGCTGATCCGGAGGCACATACGTTTTCACGCACATTGCACTCGCAATACACATCCACACGGCGTCAGTTCTTGATCGTTATCCAAGCGTGCGAAGGTAAAGAGACACAGAACTTCGGCGTGCCAAGGGAGCTTTGAACACGCCGTGAGACCGGCGAAACTTACTTTCGACAAGTTGTGCCTTTTTCCTGCGGCACTGCGCTTTCGTAAAAAATTTCCCCGTGTTCTCAACGGCAAGTATCACGCTTCACACACGACCTTAAAGAACGTCTTCGGCGAATGACGACGAACGAGTAGAAAACGTGTCTGTATAGCACGCTGCCGCCGGCCTCTGCAACGCAAGCAAAACGAGAGACAAAAACGACATGCAAGGTGGCCGTCCGGTGACCGCACTTGCGCTGCAGCGAACAAGTGGGGATGCGCGATCCAGCAATTGTCATAGAGATCAGTGGCGGCGACACTCATGCGCCGAACATTTAGTGAGATCGGTCTATTATTACAGTGTACTATTATCTTTTGATCAAGGTAATGTCAAGTTCTCAAACGTTCGCGCTTGCGTCCCAACCGCTAGCGTCACATTCTCATCAGGGTGGGACTTTTTGCGATGCATAGTTTATTTAGGCAAGCCAAAAAAGGATGTTGTTGTTTTTACGGGAACTTTTGGTACTTTCACACTCTCAAGAATACGTTCTGCGTCAACACAAGATCACAAGGTTTCAGTTTCGGTTTCAATTTTCTAAATAATTAGGCCCAATAGAAGAAACTATTTCATCTATTGGGTCTAACTCGAAGTTTTTTGTTTGGGTGGCATTTTGCGCTGCCTAGTGTGCATTTCCTACGACTACACAACATTTCTCATGGTTGCCTTCGAAATATTTTCTGACGATGCTGACGATGGTAAACTGAGGCGGCGCTGGCGGCGCTCCGGTAGCGTTTTTCAAATGCGTCGACATGGCGGACTCGCTTGAAAGTAAGAATTTTCCTCGGTGTTGTTTATCGTTGTCCGCGTAGGCGTGTAATCCTGTCGCACGCTGGCATTTCAAAATCAGATAGCCGCAGCTGACCCTTCCCAACTAAACCGTCGCGTCTCCGCTGCATTTTAATGAGTTACGGGCCGAACAGAAATAAATACGGATTGAGTAAGCCTAATCGCAATCTTGTTCCAGGAATTTCGAATTCGCCTCCCAAGCGCTTTCAAAAGTTGGCGCATAAAATGAACCAACTGCCCGCGATTCAAAATGCATCGGATCTGAAAAGTGTCCAACGTTTTTTGATCATCTTTTCTCGTGCATTCTAGGTGAATCGGCAGCAACGCTCCTGAGTATGAAAGATGGTATGTTTGCGAGTTGGTTGCATCCTCGGTGTTGTAAGATGTATGACGCTTCAAGCGGGCAGGTTAAAATGTCGTCGATAAAATCTAATTCTTTCTTACTCCTGATAACGACTTGATTGAGTGTTCTTGCTCCCTTTCTAGAATTCATCACTCCTACAACTTTTATTTTCCAGGTTCGCTCAACAGTAAGCAGAAGGCACCACCAGTGGTGTCACGAAATGTGAGTATGCTCTGGTTTTAATCGTATCTTTCGGACATTTGAGACCTCGAAGATTGGCCGTTGAACAGTTCAGACTATCGTAGCTGTTCAGTGTGTCCCCGAAAAAACATAATAGTGTTTTTCTTGGTGTTTCTTTTTTCACCGCAAAAATGAACTATGCATTGCCAAGCGCTCAGCCTCCCCCCAAATGTAGCACTGGCGGACCACACCAGATGTTAAAGTTTCAGAACTAACCGTTATCTTATTCAAAAGTTGTAAGTTATTCCCGGAAACTTTCAATGGAGAAATAGGGATCTTCTTATTAGCTGATGTCATTCATTACCATGTATTTGTGTGCTTTGTAAGCCACTCTTGTACAGTTGAAAGTTTCATAATATCACTTGTAACAGTTAAATAAGATATTGATTAGTTGTGAAATTGCGGCATCTGGTCTGAACTGTTAGTGCTACATTCGACCAGAGACTGGATGTTTGGCGATGCATAGTTAATTTTTGTGGTGAGGAAAACACTAAGTTCATTGGGGGAGACACGCCGTTGTGCGACTTCTAACTATATGCAGAGTTGGCATATTTTCTTTGGTACAGCCCCCACGTCTGAGGAAAAGGAATCGAAGAATATTCAACGATTATGAGGACACATCGTACACGCTCTCGAGGTCGTCGGCACGCAAGTCTGCTCGTATTGCATCACCAGTAAGTTCTTTATACTACGAATAGCCATAATCCACCATTTTAAAAACTGGCGTAGCCCCCCCTGTTGGAGATGTGGTTCCTTGCTAGGAAAGTCAAGGAAACAGATGGTGCTCTTAGGAAGGAGAAGCAGTCTTGGGTAGTAACGCGTTACTGTAACTTCGTTACTTTTTCGGTAACTTGTAACTGTAACGAGTTACTTTTTAAGAATGTAACTTGTAACTGTAGTTCTATTACTTTTTTCTGAGGTAACGATGAAAGTAACGAAGTTACTTTTGTCGTTACTTTTCAGTTCTTTGTGAATAATATATCATTAAACGAGTATAATCTAGCTATTCCTTGCACTTTCCAAAGTGTCTGTTCCGTCATTTTGAGTGTCAGTTGGCCTTGCACAAACTTGAGAATGCGTTCTTTCTCGCGAGTCACTATCCGAATATAGCCACGTGTAGATTTGATGAAGAAAAAAAAAAGAAGAATGTAGTTATCTTTACGCACTTGCTTGTACTTTGTGACTGAACACTTACATCTTAGTATATTGAAGCACTACCTTTGTTGCGGTTTTTTCTTTTTTGCGCACGCATTTTAATCGGGTGAATCAACCGTGAAACAACAATACACGCGGAGGGAACTTCGTATGTTTCGTATTTTGATTAGCGCCACTACTCCGCACTGCGCATGTTTCGTATTTTGATTTGCGCCACTACTCCGGCGTGGTTTCAGCGGTGGAGGCAAAATTTACTGTTGTTTGCGCAGGGCTTGTTTCTGGTTTGTCGGGTACGAACTGAAATATATCAAAGGAGTACACGAACACAGCGCAACCGTCAACGAGCCAGCAATGCGCTAGTGCTACAAGGATAGGGATGTTGATGAGAACAGAACAAAGAACAAGCATGGCCGGCGTACAGAGTATTTTTCTGTGGTGAAGTTGGTTGCTAACTATTTAACCGCAGTATGCAAACTTTGCAACAAGAAGTACTCTGACAACAAGACTTCGTGTTCAAATCTGAGAAAACACATCCAGTTCAATTTTTGTCTTTATTCTTTTCATAATATTGACTAATTTTCCAGCTAAATTATTAAGTTTGAATTTACCGCTATGGTGAAAGCCAGACTGATTCGTGTCTATATTTTTTTTCTTTCAAACATTAGTTTTTCCTTAATTTTTGTGTTATAGAAAAGTAACTGAAAAGTAACGTCGTTACTTTTTGAAAGTAACTGTAACTGTAACGAGTTACTTTTTTGTTGCGGTAACTGTAACGGTAACTTCGTTACTTTTTTGTGAAAGTAACTGTAACTGTAACGAATTACTTTTTAAAAGTAACTTACCCATGACTGAGGAGAAGGCAGAAGCCTCTCTATGAACTGGGGACCAAAGATAAGCTACAATGGGAATGAATGTGACATGTTGGATGCTCGATCTGGGTGACCACAGCTCATTGAAGCCAACAGGATTTGGCTTTCTCTACTTGAAGGATTGTTCGTGTTGGCTCATACCACGCCCATGCATTTTCATACCGATATCCTCACAAACTGGGAGTTCAGGAATTGGTAGATTGAAAAAACTCCACTCATGCTTTCTCTATTAAGTTATCTTCGCATATAACATGTTTCCAAAATTAGGTCAAATATGAAATGTTTGGAGGGCTCGGCGAAGATTAACAAACTTATGTTGAAAGGCACATAAGGGCTGTATTCCTTGAATTAGAATGCTACAACTTATTCTAGGAGAGCTAGAATGTTTATAATAAACTACCTACTGATCTTGTTTATCCGGTGGACACAACCTGCCAAACATATATAGGGTGGTCCAAGTCACCAGGCTCGATCTAAAATGGACCGTAAAAATTGACACCTGCACGTAGCCACCTAAACTTTTCGTCAAAGGTATATTTCACAGGACGGTTTTTTCTTGTAAAATTACAAAGCGTACCTCCCTTCCTGTAAAAAATAGGGCCAAGAAACTTGCCAGGGTCAAAGGTGGGTGGTGACACAGATGACCAAGTCCAGTAGCGGGGTGTGTTTGGCGTTCGTATTGATAGATGGCGTCGGGAGCAGCGTCTGAAGGTGCAGCCGACCAGTGAAAGAAAGCAAAGCAGACGACACGCAGACGAAATCCGTTGGCCGCAAAAGTGTCGTCGTTATGCAGACACATTTTTTTTACTTAAAGTTTGCTTTTATTGTCCGCATTTATTTTTTAACCGAAGGTACATTTCAAAAACATTGTTCATTTTAATAAACCACAGTGGTTGCGAGCCGTCGCGACAAGGAGGTAGCGTCATCTATCAATACGAACACCAAACACACCCCGCTACTTGAACCCTGTCGTCTGTGTCGCTGCCCGCCGTAGACCCTGGCAAGTTTCTTGGCCTTATTTTTTTACAGAAAGAGAGCTATGCTTTGTAATTTTACAAGGAAAAACCAACCTGTGAATACACCTTTGACGAAAAGTTCAAATTGCTACGTGCAGGCGTCAATTTTTACGGTCCATTTTAGATAGAGCCTGGTGGCTTTGACCACCCTATATAACTGCTTTAATTTCTTCTTCTATTCCTTTTCTATTTTTGTTTTTTGTAGACAAATTTGATTGTGTGATTTTTAACCAAACCTGACCCACTTTAAAGGGACCATGAAATGATTTTAAAATCAAGTTTCATCCACCGCACGTCGTAAAAGGTGTGAAAAGAAACACAAAAACACAAAAATGGGGAGCCAAAAAAAATTATTTGCTATAGAACTTTTAAAAGAAAACTGGACTCTTTTGCGCCTTCCTTCCTTCGCCTGTTCACTACGATACATCCGCGGAAATGGAGCACGTCAGCCAAATCCAGGTCGCCTATTGGGTAAGAGCCTACCTCACGAGCACCGCGATCGTAAACAATAAATAGCCGGCGAATGTTTCCTAAAAGTTTTGTTAAATAATATTCAGATCCACATTTTGTAGCATAATTAGAGATGTGTGGCGAAAATTGCCAAATTTGATAATGCTGAGAGCCAAGCGCCATCTATCGTGTGGTAAACGAAGCAGCTACTGCGCGTGCGCAGTAGGGCAGGGCCGACAGTTACTTGGGTGACGGCGACCATTGATGGCGACCGACGAACATTTATTTTCTTTGTTTTCCTTCCTCTCAAAACTCTGACTGACTGAACGTTTATTTTTCTACGTGTTCTTCCCGCGCGTGCCGACTTCAAGCAGCAAGAAAACAGTACTTAAAACAGACCACGACGAACAAGAACGCTGGATCCACCGACTCCGACGAAGCGAGCTGCTCAGAATATAGGCCTAGCAGGCATTCCGACTCGGCGCTGCGTTGCTTCGTCGCAAGACCGTCTGCCTACGACCCGCTGGCGTGCTAAATGGAATATGCCCGCGCGACCCTTGTGGACCCTTCCCGTATTATAGTTTGATCACTGACCTCAATTCTAGATTAAGAGGTGAGGTCAATCTCTTCCCCTTGTTTTCCGAGGCAGTGTTGACGAACACTCGTCGAAAAGGGACTCTCGTCGATTCTATCTTCTTGTTTCGTGTGATATAGAGCTGAAATAAACGCCGTATGGATTACCTTCGTAACACGGTATGACCACTTTGTTATTGGTATGCCATTTTTATTCTGACAGACTGCACGTCACTGTCGAGCTATAACAGTTCGTGGGAGGTATACGTACAACCCCGGTCCAACCTTTCTTTGCCGAGTGTCGCGTCAGTATCGAGTTGCAATCGTAAAAGAACGGTCCCGAAGCGCTTACAAACAGCGCGAATACAGCACTTCCATCAAGCGCGCGTCCGCTCCGAGTGTAAACAGGTATTTACGTGGCTCTTGCTGACACTCGTAGTTCAAACGTATCTTCTTTAACGTCGGCTCGCTCCTGCATCTCCGAGGCCGCGAAAAACGCCATCTACGTCGCTTTGCAAACGACTGACACGGGCCGGCCCTTCTGCCAACAATGACAGGGTGGTTGACTTCTGGAGTCTTCACCGGAAGACTCGCTGCACTTCTCAACAGGCATACCGGCGTATGGGACTAGTCCCATGCTGTCGCTGTAGCGCAACATATCTCATTGAATTTCGCTCAGCTGCGATGCGGCGATAAGAGGCGCCGATTCAGGAAATACGTCGGTGACATCAGCGCAGTAAAACCTACCGGCGCACCCCAACTCGTTGCCGCTAACACTCCCATTCTCCTACTGCCGAGAGAACTTCCGGTTCCGGAAACGGCCTACGTCACGGCTTGTTTTGCGGTCAGTTGGAGAGAATGAAAAAGTCGATATTTCAATAATTTTTTGTGTAGAAGTTAATAGACCGAGACGAAAACGGATGCCTGTTCGGCATCCAGTGAACATTGACGGTTTAATGTAAAAGTTATGTGGAAAAAGTAAAAAGGTCATTTCATGGTCCCTTTAAGCATTGCCTCATCTCTCGAGTTTTTCTGCATCACAACCATTAATGTTTCCAGGATCAAGACCGTGCTGGAAATCATGGAGTCCGGATGGTTGGATTTTCAGTTTCTTAACATATCTGTAAGGAAGTGGGTATTGTGACTGACCTAGTGACCCCTATTGGGGTGGCATCGCTCCACCTTGGCAGCCAGTTGGAAACTCCACCAGTGACAGCTTCCATGTTCTGGCTCATAGTGAAGCGCCGCCCTCTTGAACTCATTCTAATGTGCCCACAGCAACTTCGCTTTCTCTGCGCCTTCCCGTGGTCATGTTTGTCGATCTAGCTCCGAAGCAAAGGTTTGCCACCTTGACAGCCCAAACCTATCCACGCCCAGCGTTGCTCTTTTTGTAGTTCAACCCTCAGGAGTTGCATGGCCAGCAGGAATCTAGTCTTCTGCCCCGCAGATAGGAGCATCAACGGCGGCAGCATATTGCTATATTTTTCGTTTATCTGTGCTGGAAGACGCTTCTACAAAGCTTTTGTGCATTCGACAGTTGCGAGATCATTATGGGATGACTTTAACCATTGCCGTTCATTGATAAAATCTGCATGAGAAATATTTTTCGCTCCTCTTATCATGAGGTTGCCAGTGATGTGATTGCTGCGCCAATTGCGCCAAACTGCGCCAAGGGCCCAACCCTGCTACATCCTGCTACTTTTTGCCAAAATATGGGTAATCTGCGCCAAGCCTGCGCCAAAGAACCAATTTTGGTCGCCTTGCAAAACCGAAACTAAACTGAGTGCCGTGATTGAGCATGCGTGAGCTAGGTGGCGCAAGCGGCCGTCCGACAGAATGTACCCTGCATCAATCGTCCATCCGGTCTTGCATGGTTTTTCCCGCCATCTCTCGTTTCGCGCTCTCGCCGTCTCGTGGGTCTCGTCTCGCGGCTTTTTAAAACTTTTTCAACACGTGTCGCTGGACTGTTTTTTGGTTGAACAGTTATTTTGCCTACAATTTTGGGAACCTGTTGGCGACCGAGCAGAGTTGCATGGTTTCCGTTTCGATCGAACAGCCATCTCCGCTCGCGCGACGAAGCACGTGCATCTGCAAGCCTGCCGAAGTTGCCCTGATGTGCATGCGAACATAAATGCACGACAGAGGCACCAGCCGGGACGCTTGCATTCCATTGCTTTATGTTTCCTTACTTTTGACGAAAATCGGGCACGTCGGGATACAGTAAAACGGTGGCAAGTGGTTTTTCGGAATTGCTCGGCTACGCCTACAGCAATGTGTGTTGTGTGTTGTGGGATGTCTCAATGTCTCTCCGGAGAAATTGCTAGTGATAATTTATTACTAGCCGAAGGCAAAACGAGGCTTGCAACAGCCTTGCAGAAAATTTCGAAAAGCAAAAAGAAGAACACCCCTAGTGGCAATGCACCTTTGTCTTGTGTATAATTTCGCATTGCACTGCAGTTTACGTGTTTCATCAGCAGGAGACTGCTTCCATGTATTATATAACCAGTCAAGCTAATGCTGTGATATTTACTACTAAGCTGGTCATTTTCAAATATGGTTTAATATGTGCCAATATGTGTCATTTCAGTTACACGTTGAAAGACTCCCAAGTGGTCTAACTTAACCATAATTTGTTTATTGCAGTGAACAAAGTATCCTTCGTTTGTACAGCACTTAAAACAAATATTTTTATTCGTTTTACCAAAAACCACTTTTCCAGCTCCGAATTAGTGTTTTGGCTGCTCCAAAAGCCACTTTTTTTTCTCCAGAACACTGTTGTTGCTGCTCCAAAGAAAACTTTTGCTGCTCCAAAACTCTGTTTTGGCTGCTCCAAAAGGTGCTCCACAACGGCTTAGGCCAATCACATCACTGGGTTGCTCTTCTCTCGCCAACGGGTCGAGTAGGTGTGCTGGGGTTGAGATCATCACGGCGGTTTTAGCCAGCACATGGAGAGGACTTGTGTCCTCAATTTCCAGCTCCCGTGTAAAAAAAAGGTTAGCACCGAGCGTGGCCTTGAAAGTTTTGTATAGCACCGTGCTCAGCTAAACTGACATTCATTACAAACAAGGGTTGGCTACTACGCAGGTTGTCTATGCAAGTCTGGCCGTGTTCAGTATGAAATGCTTCTGCCAGGAGCCGCATTGTGGTGCCAGTCTTCTCACACAGTTCCAATATACTCACGGTAGAGGGTCTTGTGGGACGTACATCCAGCTTGAACTCTAGCAAGTTTTCATACTGGTTAACCTTCACCCTATACTCTTATATGCTCCAAAGGTTTCCAGCTCGCTCTAGTTCTTTTGTATTGTGATTGAATGCGCCCACCATAGTAGCCGGTGACATAAAGGAGTGTCGGCCGTTATTGAGTGTTCACATACCAGCCATCTTTAGAGTTAAGACGAGCTGGCACTTGAGCAGTCAGTTCAACTGCTGCCAAATTGGTTCCAGCAAATCTGCTGGAACGACATTAATGGGGGAAAGAAAAAGAACTAAACCATTGTGTTTACGGTCCAACTGCATCCCCCATGCTTCTTGAGTTTTGACATTGGTAGAGCCACCCACCATGCTTTCAAGATCCAGCAGCACTAAAAATTATGTTAATGAAGAAAAGTCTGCACACTAATAAATTAGGAATATGTCAGGATAAGATCATCCGAAACCGCCCTTTACAGGGTGCGGGTAATGCACTTTCTAAGCGCACCTTTAATAGCTGTTTTCTAGTCCTTTGACCATTTTCCCTGTCTGCTCGAGAAAGGCATACTCATTTGGAGTTGGTTGGAATAATCGTTAGACTTGTAGCTCCATTGTTTTTCTTTTTTTTTTTCCCCATGCGCTGGTCTCCCAGAAAACCGATGACCCTGAATGGACACCGGAGAAGAGGCCGGGGGGACGGAACATAAAGAAGGAACCGGTATGCTTTGGTACCGCACGCTAGTCTCGTAGTTTGTGATTTTATCAATCCCTTTCCTACTTCGAAACTAGTCTGGTTGCCTTTTGTCAACTCGCAAAGCGATCACCACGGCATGAGCGTCACAGCTGAGCTCTTCTTGCCTTGCAGCCGCCTCCGGTCGTGCTTCCCGACAAGCGCGTCATCCAGAAGGTGGGGATTCGTCTCAGGAATCTGCTCAAGCTTCCCAAGGCACATCGATGGGTCTGCTACGAATGGTTCTACTCCAACATTGACCAGTAAGAACACAGATGCTCTTGTTCCTGACGAAGAGCTGGGAAACTATCATACCTTCTCAACGAATAGCTGCTTCAGTGCATTTGAGGTACTACCGAATCCCAATTGATGGGTTAAAATTTAAAATGTCCGACTCCCAATTCATTGGTTCAAATGCCGGCTGAGGTGCCCACAGTCTTACAGAGGTACATTGTGGTAGTGGTGCCATGGAACACTGAGATTTCGGCTGTATCTCAAAGTTCTGCTAGTGACCAAAACTTTCTTTTTGGTTAGTTCATATACTCCGTTCACCGCTGAGCTGAGTTGGAAGCTACTTGCTCGAACCGTCGGACCAGTCGTAACGTCTATCTTTCACCGTGTAATCGTGCTTCCACCATATCCCCTCACGTATAGTGCAGTCGGGTGATAAAAGGGAGACAAGGAAGGAAGACACCAAGTGCAACTTTCCTCCCCCCTTCCCCCAAACAACAATTAGCTCTTTCTTTTCTTTTTTTAGGAGTAAGGAAATTTACACTTTGAGGGCAGTGCACTGTACCTCATTCATCATTAAGCTGACAGTGTGGGGTATGGTAAGCAATTGCAGTGCAAACACTGCAATTGCTTTCTTGCCTGTATGTCACAAAAAGCTCACTTTGTGACTTCTATCATTTTTTTTTAAATTTTATCTCCGATAGGTGGTTGTTGTTTTTAATTGATCCCAGTTATGACCAAATTTTTACACCGTTTCCGCATGCTTCCTTTATAGCGTGCAACAGTGCACAAGAAAAAATGTGCAATTAGTAGTCCTTAAAAATCCCCTCCCCCCTCCTCCGAAATGGAGTTCTGGATCTGGCCCTGAGGGAAACACAGTTCATGGGTCCGGTGAGCATGTCGCACCCACCACCCTGTCAGCTTGGGGGGGTAAACAAGGTATAGTCCTTTGCTGGGGTTTCCAGGTGATACTCCTTGATCCGTTGTTTTGGAGTAGCAGCATTCCCACTGCACCCTTAAAAGTATGGGATACAGCACTGAACTTCAAAGGCGGCACTGTGTTTCCAAACCCACTCGTGATACACGTCCATCTGCAGAGGATGGTTAAGGGTTGAAGCTGTAGTGTGAAAGCATTCTGCATAGTGGAGACGATTTTTCGTCTTTTTCTTTGTTCCACTCTACCTTCAAGACCACTCTTTCAAGGAGACAACGAGTTCTGTGCCTACCTGAAGCAGTCTTTCCCTCTGCTCAAGACCAGGAAGCTGACACGTGTCCAGTGGTGCAAGATCCGCCGCATCATGGGCAAGCCCAGGAGGTTCGTTCAAAGGATTGCCCAAAGCCATTTTTTTTCTGGGCTCAATCGTGATGGTTTTGAATGTTTAGTAGGTTGTAATGACCACTCAGATATGTGAATCTTACTGCAGCAATTTTTGTTTTTATTTTGAGGCTCAGGTTTTCAGTGTAGGCTTTGGGTCGAGCATCAGAGCACAATGTTTGTGCTCCGGTGGACTTTATTTTTTCTGCAGTAAGTTTGACTTGTTTAACTGGGCATTAGGGCAGGACGCACCTTTAATATCGGTGGTTTGTACTGAGTGGACTAACATTTATGTGCACCTAGTCAAATTTGAAATTGGGCAGCTTGCCATTTGACAGTTCTTTATTTTTCTAATAGATAGGGCCGTTGTGAGCCGCCTCGGTGGCTCTGAGGCGAGAGCGCCGGCCTACGGATCCCCATGTGGCGGGTTCGAATCCCGGCCGAGGTGCCCGCAATCTGACGGAGGCTTATTGCAGAGAAGGCGCCGTGGTAATCAAGATTTCGGTTGCACATCAAAAGATCCCCAGGTGGTCGAAATTAATCCTCAGTCCTCCGCTGGGGCGTGCCAGATGCCCGTCGTTGGTTTGGCACGTAAAACCCCCAAATTTGACTTTACGGCCGTTGTGAGTAAGCCACCATACTTACTAAAAAAAATAGTCAAAACGAAAAGAAAATGGAGCTCCTTTAAAACAAGGCTATCGGTGAGCGTTAATTCCATAATGCATTGTTGCTTCGCATAATCTTTAAAATAGATCGCTAGCGAATTGGCGACAGGAGGAAATCCTTCGAACCAATGTTTTTCATGGTTCTGTGGTAGTACACTGAAATGTCTCCTACTCCGACACGCACGGGGCTTGCGTGGGCTGTCCAGGACAGTCTACGGAGATGTCTACCGTCATAAAGGCGTCTTTTGGTAAAACGTGTGCAACGGCAATGCTCGTCAGCCTGTCTCAACTTCGGGAGAGCTCCGAATGGCAACACTGTCCAATTTGCTGCAGTGTCCAAATCACGGAAGTGCCCGATCTACAGTCAAACCCAAGGGATAGTAGTGTCCACAATACGGTAGAGTCTGAGCGAGAGAAATATTGAGCTTCAAAAACCCCTAAAAAAATATCTTTTTTTTTTTATCAGTTTGGTTGGGACACGTATGTCAAAAAATAAATTTTACGTGAAACAAAATGTTTTTAGAGCAATATTGCCAATGAGAGATTTATTTGAAATTCTGCACGCAAAGTCTATGATGTCGTGGGTCATTCCAGAATGACCATCTCAGTCTTTCGCTCTTTCCACCTCAGCGTGAAGGCGAAGTCGATCCACCTCCCCCACGCGCCCGGAATGCAGAGAGAAAACAAGTGAAAAGGAGGTGCCTACCAACCAAATCTCATCCCGCGCCATCAGTATTGCTCTAAAAAAAAATTTTTTTCACAATAATTTAATTTTTTTACCTGCGTGTCGCAATCAGATTGTTTAAAAAAAATTTTTTTCCTTTTCAGGGGCTTTTTAAGGAAGCGTCAAAAGTCACTGAAGTGTTTGAATTAGGAAACACTGAAGAGTTTTAATCAAGGCCCATTCACACATGGCGCCAACTCGGCTCTGAAAATAGCGCCTATTTTTGCAGTGCCGACATCACACGATACAGCGCCATTCCTAGCGATGGTCTAGCCCCCCCCCCTCCCCCCATTTATTTACAAATTGGCTTTTTGAGCCCCGCCGCTGTGATTTGTCGGCGACATCCCCGCAATGCCCGTGCAGGTGTTCGCCGTCATTCTTCGAAGAGGAGATCCGCTCCCTCCACGAGCGAAGAAACAACATCCGACAGGTGCAGCAGCGGAAGGTGCTCACCGCGGACAACTTCAGCAACCTGCCCGCCGATATACCGCTGCCCCTGGTCATCGGCACCAAAGTCACCGGTACTGCCCTCCCATACTCTCTGGGCGTCCTTTCGAGGTGACGAGTTTTATTCCTTTCCGGCGTTTAAGCTCGCTTGCGGAAGCCCCAGGACGGACTGTTTGAGGGATCCATCGACGCCGTGGACACCCAAACTGCGACGTACCGGACGAAGTTCGATCGCTCCGGGCTCGGTACTCACTCGGTGCCGGACTTCGAAGTTCTGGTACGCTTCCTCTTTGGGTATCACTTGATTGCAGGACGTGGCAGCGAGTTCCTTTGCACTCCAAAGAGTCAGTCGGTACCCGTGTAACCATTTAACGAAAAAACTCTCTTTAAAGGGCAACTCCGCTCAATTCCAGGAATTTCGGGGTTTTTGGTAAATACATTAAGGTATACTAATAAACAGCTCGACGTCGTTTGTTTCTCAAAAAAGGAAATATAATTCTCGTAATCCTTCTTTACTCCTGATCACGAACCGAAACCGAAACTGCGCCCGCGCCTGGCAACATTGGTCTTGCGTCGTCATAGTCTGGGATAACCCACGTGGTACGAACGTCACCGCACGACCTTGCCGACCGCGCGGACGAACGGATTGGCGGAGCAAGCGTCGTCGCACCGTGTCGTCTGCTCCACGGTCTCTGCTATCCAACGACGTGTGCATAAACCGCGGCCGCAGAGTGTCTTGACGCTGAAAAAGGCAAGTTGTTTTAAAGTTATGTTTTGGAACCATTAGTAGTTGAAGTTAAGTAAACCACTCGGAATATGCCAGGCATCGCAGCACAAAACGTTGCTCCGAGACGCAGCAGGTTCGGTCTTTCCGACGACAAGCGCGGAGCGCTCGCTTGGACGCTCATTAGCGCATGCGCGTTTTGGATCACGTGGACATAGGTATGCACGCTGCTGGCGCCGCCTGTAGGCTGCGCCTCAATAAAGTAAAAAACAAGAAAAAAAGCGGTCCCAGACTATGACGTGCGGCGCAGTGTTGGCTGCGCCAACACGCGGTATTGACTGCGTTGTTCTCTGCGCCGCACATCGGCCGCTAGAATTAGCAGATTTCGGAGACTTGAGGCATCTCAAACTTTGTTTACCAGTTTAACAAACTTTTAGGCTTAATTACGTCGTAAAACTTGACGTGTAGTCTTATGGGTGATACTAAAGAGAACTGCGTTGTTTTTTCAGCATCGAAAATGAAGCGGAGTTGCCCTATAAGGTCTTGTGCCGACAGCGTAGAAGCATCGGAAGCGAGTCTCGGTTATTTTAATTATGCCGTATTCATCCCGGCACCTTTCATTGAATTTTAGTGGTCAAGTGGAACCTACATTCACATCCTTGAAAATGATCACCGTAAACAACTTAAAGGGATGGTGAACCGAAATTTGGATTTCAAAAAAACAATGCAGGAGATGTAGGCGGGACGCTACAATCCCTACAACACTACTCGTAAGGCGATATCTCAAATGGACGGCCGTATTTTTGGAAAAAGAGGTCGAGATTGAACCAGGCCGACGAGGCGCGTGATGTCAAGATATCTTGTTTCCTCCTCTTTTCGCTTCGCTCCCTCAAGGCAGCGAGGCGGAGAAGACGCGAGGTCGTTCCCTCTCCTTCTCGGAGAAACATGACGTCAACATTTGTGCCAAATGTGCCTTTTTTTTAAAAAAATACAGTCATCCATTCGAGATATCGCTGTATGAGAGATGTTTTTGTGTTTGTAGCATCCCATTGCACGCTTTTGCCGCGTGTTTCGGGGAATCCAAATTTCGGTTCAGCATCCCTTTAAGAAAACCAAATTTTCACGACTTGGAAAATGTTTTGAACGGCCCATGGTAACAAACAGGTAGTATAACACTCTAAATCGAGAAATTTTGTGCCTGCAAAATATTTCCGAAGTCTGATATATTTTGAGCTCGCAATAATAATTAATTTACAGTATTGAGTTCTCTAAAAATATGCAAGTAATGGGGGAAGGGAACCGAAAGAAGGGAACTGCTTTACCAGGAAAACTGCTCTTTTTCTCATTCACTTTTTTTTTGTTTCGCATTTCAGAGCATCGACCCTCCAGAGACCATGCCCAAAGCGTCCTTCCTTCAGAGACAACGGCCTCGGCACATCTTCTATGTCACTCCTCCCAGACCCATTCCCTACACCCAGGGGGCACGGCTTGTGAGTCTTCTTCCCGCTCAATGTAGGCCAGCTACACACCTCAGTCTGTGTCGCTGGTTTGGCGACCCTTTCTTCTTTGTATGCTCTACAGAAGGTGTGGTAGTTCTGGTCGAGGAATTACGGCATATAAGGTGCCAGAACCCAGTGATGGACTTGTACTATGCATCTAAAAGCAGTGTCCTCATTTATGCGTTTACTTTATGAGTGAGCCAGCGGTCGTCCCCCCTACCTGGGCGGAGACGCGCAGGGCTTGTGCACCACACTTGCTTCCGTTCTACGAGAGAGCTCAGGCGATAGCCGCGTGCCTGGGTTACGAAGAGGAGGAGGAGGGGGGAGAGGGGAGGGCAGGCAGGGACGCTGGCACAAGGTGCACTCCGATGAGAAACCAAAACCTGCAAGCGCGTCCAAATTTAGCATTTTTTCAAAACGCTGTGGAATGGTCTATAGGTTTTATATATCTTCCTAATATTTGTTGCTTTGTTAGTTTTTGACAGTGCTTAGCAAGTGTTGCCCGTTTTGCATCCAGCATTGCCCGTTTCGCGTCCAGCGTAGCAAAGAGAAAAATAATTATGCTTACAGTTTTGTAATCATTTCCGGTCCGATTTATGCTTTTCATGGTTATTCAAGTGGAAATTGGAACAGTGTTCATAAAAAGCGCGAACCAAAACGTGACCGAGGGCACGTCTCGTTTCAACCAGTTGCTTGCATGTCACTTGCGACGTCGCGCTTCTTGGTCCCACAACGTCACGCGAACTCCACTTTTCCTGGCGTTTCCCGCAACTGTTGAGGCTTCGCCGCAATCGATCCCAGTACGATTATTACCGCGACTGTTTCATTGATTTGCGCTGCTCAGAAGCGCCAGTTTTGGCTGAAATTTGGGCAACATTGCCTGGGACATGCCTGGAACCCAGTTCAATCGCCAAGAAAATATCCGAAATTGCCACGGTGCCAGGATCGTATCTCCAATTGGCGCGCTTACCGCGCCCAAAAAAGTGGTCCCTGAATTTCCGCCCGGTGACGTCATAGAAGACTCAAGCTGTCACCAGTCGTAGTCCTGGCGGCGCCTCGGCAGTGGTGGTGGATGTAGTAGACACACACTCTGCTGCGGGTTGCTCTCCAGTGTGGCAGTCCACTGAAGCTTCAGCGGCCAGGAGTTCGGACACGGCGACACTCGCATTTGTTCGTGCTTTTCGCCAGCGTTCCTACGACCAATCGCCAGGATCGCAATATCCGACAGCATTACAGTTTAGCCTCTACGGCGTCGCTTGTTGCCGCTTCGGAACCACTTTCGACGATGGGGGTAGAGTAGGACGCTAAGCGCACCAGTCGGAGACGCGCTGCGGCCACCGTACTGAGGCTCGTAAATTGTGCGGTTCGTCGAAAGGGCAACGGGTGTCTGGGAGCAGATTTGACATGCATTTAGGCACTCAAGCGGGCCGAGGTAGTGAAACATTTCGTCCCAAAGGAAACCTGAAGTTGTCCTTTTAACGCTCTTCTTTGGGTCCTCAGGAGAACGACCCGCTGCTGGGAGGTTCTCCGTTGCGGCCCGGCCTCTCTGGCGGCGACGAGACGTCCACCGTGGGCGGCTTTCCCGTTGACTTTCTCACCCTCATGGTAACTCAATCTCATTTCCTCTCGGCTACGAGTGAAAAAGTATGTTGGGAGAGGACGGGAGTTGTGCGCAGAAGGCGCGACGAAATCTCGACGACACAACCGCCGTTGATCCGAATTTTGGAGTGGCACGAATTTCTTAAAACTGCCGGCTGCAGTGATGTTCTCATGTAGGATGTCTTATATTTTGGGATAGTGAAAACGCTCTGCAGGGCCGGAGCAGTTCATGCAGACAAACGGTGCGAAATGCCACGGAGCCGTGGTCAGCGACCACAGCAATGGCGTCACATACCCCAATGTTTGGAAGTGAAACCACGTCCAGTGTCGGCTCAGTTGTGCTTGGACGGTGCCAAACGTAGAATATCTCGCGATATAGAGGTTTAACCACTTGACTGGGGCGTGCATCTTTAGCACGGCATTTTTCGACGGAGGCTATATTAATGCCGCCATTTGTCGAACACAGTACCAAACACGATGAATTTGTGTTTGCCGGGTGGTGATAGAGTTTAATTGTATTGGTGAGAAATATCTAGGATTTCATGTTTTGGAAGTTTATCTCTCGCGAAATTCGGAGTGTGTTTTTCGGAGTTCATATTTTGTGGGAGATTTAGGGTTTATCGGAGTTTATTTTTGTTAGATTCCCAATTCTTTGAATTTTGAAGTTTAATTTACTGCGTAAAATCTAAAAATTCGAAAGCAAAATAAATAAGGTCTGGGTACTATGACCTGTTGTCCATAAGGAACCCAGGCGCGCTAAAAGGCAAACCCCCTTTTTGTCAGTACAGTAAAACCTCGTTATAACAAAACGGGATATAACAAACTAATGGATATAACAAAGCAATCATAATTCCCCTTGCTTGCTAATAGTGGGAAGAAATGGACATTGGCTATAACAAACTAATGGTTATAACGAAATAATTACGACCGCTCCTTCAACTTTGTTATAACGAGGTTTTACTGTAGTTCCAAGTTTCAAAATAAACTGAAGTGGAATCTCTCCAGGACCACTAACCTTGTGCTCTTATAAAGTTTAGTTGTAAAACTCCGCCTTTTTTGCTGTTTAATTTGTCGCTGTGACCTCGAAATTCGGAGTTTTCCAGATAAAACCAAATTGACAAAAAATTTACCGCGAAGTGTTTTTTCGGATTTATCCGAAAACACGGAACCTTAGAAATATCTTTGTTCTTCTTGTTTTGGGTCATGGATGCTTTGAAGTGGCACAAAGCTTTGACAGACTCAGGAATTGGGGGGCTGCTTGGGCAAAGTGACTATGATGACTCGGACAATGAGTACATTACGCTTAGTAACAACGAAACACCATCATGTGACGACCACGACGACGGAAGGGACCTGCGCAATGTGCCGACGGCGAGCACATCTGCGTCCTCTACATTGCCGTTGCAGGACAGCAAAGTCTTAAGAGCATGCATTCCTTTGCAAGGAAAGCATGCTCAATGCAAGGAGCAACGCATTATCAAAGCATGAAATGCTTTTTATTGGAACCATCCAATCCCAAAACGTTATCCATCCGCCTGTGCATTTCTCGCTAAATTTAGCGGGGAAACTAAAGTGGTGGTTACGTCGCATGAACTGACATTGCGTGATCTTCGCATCAGTTAACTTTTACCATCAAAGTCAGTGGGGAAATTGATGTGAGCTGGTACACCAATTTATTTTCCCCACTAAATTTGGTGGGAAAATACAGACGTTTCGCCACCTATGCAGGTGGCATCTTCAGTATACACTGACACAAATGAGGTGAGGTCGACCAGTCTACTTATCACACACGTCCCCGTAAACGTCCGGCAGGGGGCCACGGTTGGTGTTGCACACCGATGAGTCACGGCGAATGCACCAGGACTCGACGAATTTTCTTTGCCCCCACCTTTGTTCTCGGGCCAGCGTCGTCGCATTGTCCAGGTCGAAACTGTGTCCTGTCGTCCAGCAGTGTTCGACAAGTTCCGTCTTGGACCGCGTGGCATGGGTGGCCTTGGCAACGTCCCTTTTGTGTTCTTTCAATCTCGTTGCCCTCTTTCTGCCCGTTTCGCCGATGTAGGTCGCGTCACAATCCCCGCACTGCACTTTGTATACGACCCCCCTCTGACCGTCTGCAGAGGTGCGGTCCTTCGGTTTCGGGAACACATTCGCTAAGGTATAATGTGGTTTAAAAACAGTTTGTACGCCCAGCGGGCGCAAAGCTCTCCGAACAGCATCTGACACGCCCTGGACATAGGGAATAGATACAATAGACGTTGCCCGCACTCGTGACTCACTCCCCCTTCCCCTCTGCATTCGCCTCTGCGTATCGTTAATAAACGTCCTCGGATAATGGCGCCGCTCTAACGCACCAACCACATTTTCTACCTCTTGCAACCGTAGCTGCTTGTTAGAGCACACTGCATCACAACGTGATAAAAAGGTTCTTACAACGGACCGTTTGTGTTCGGTCGGGTGATGTGAGTCAAAGAACAAAAAATTTCCGGTGTCACACTGCTTACGGTACACCGTCGTTTCCACACTGCCATTACTGGCCCGGCGTACCAACACATCCAAAAAAGGCAACGCATTTTCTGTCTCTGTTTCGTACGTGAACTGAATGGCGTGGTGTACGCTGTTCAGCGCCACGTGGAAAGCATCTAGGTTAATTTTTTTCAAAATTACAAAAGTGTCATCTACGTACCTACAGTACATTTTCACCGGAAAGGGTACTGAGTTTAGCACTCGTGTTTCGACGTGCTCCATCATTAAGTTTGCTACGGTAACAGAAATAGGACTTCCCATAGGGCACCCTTCGATTTGATGGTAAATCGTGTTGGCGAAACTGAAGTATGTTTGATTCAGGCAAAACCGCAACAAAATTATAATATCCTCCACAAGTAAGGACGTACGACTCTCCAAATTACAATCTTCTTTCAAACGCGCCTCTACATAATCGATAGCCAGGCCAATGGGGACATTTGTAAACAATGAGATAACATCAAAAGACACCATAACATCGTCATCATCAAGCTGCTGCGTACGGACTTCGGTTACAAAATCGCGAGAGTTTCTAACCGACCTAGAGTTGTCCTCAGTTAACGGCTTCAGCACTTCAACCAAGAACTTCGACAGGTTGTAAGTTGGTGAACCTACAAAAGACACGATAGGACGGAGAGGGCAGCCCTCTTTATGCACCTTAGGTAGCCCGTAGATGGTTGGAGTGGCTCCGTCCGAAGAAAACAGTCGGCGGTACAACGTTTGATCCAAACGTCCTTTGTTACGCAGTACCCGTAAATGTTCAACGAGCTGGCGCTCTGACTTTGCTGTCGGGTCACGGTTCAGCTTCATAAAGTGCGAGGGATCGTTCAAGATGTTGTACATTTTCTCCTCATAATCCTTTCGATCTAGCAACACAGTAGCCTTTCCCTTATCTGCCGAAAGGATAACGATAGATTTATCTGATTTGAGATCATTTAGCGCCGTGCGTTCCCCAGCGGTAAGGTTCGTCCAAGTGCTTTTTGCATTCGCCAGGACACTTACAATTCGGCTACGAGCCAAGTTTACCCCAGTTGTATCCTGGATATGCCGCAACTTCTCCTCAACCTCCACGATGATATCACGTTTGGGCACTTTCCGTGGGGCAATTGCGAAATTCAGGCCCTTCGACAATAAGCTCATGTGGTTGTCCGAAAGACGTTTCGAGGAAAAGTTATGCACTGCTTCTAAACTTTCCTGTTCTGGCCGATGGCGAGGTAACAACTGGGACAACTTCTGGCGATGGACTTCGGTGCACTTGCCTCTTTCCAAGTCTTCAGCTTGTTTGTGCGCCCTGATGATGTCGTGGAAATCATTGGGACGAAGCCTAGAGCGGAGACAGGTTTCCGCCGCGTACACACGACGTCTTACTTGCTGTATTTCTTGCTTGTTATCCTGTATTCTGGCTTTCAGGCAGTTGCGGCTAAAGTTCCGTGCGAGCGTGCGGCCATAGGGGGTGTCGACGAGGGTATTGCAGTGGAGACTTCTGGGCACCACGTTGTTGTTCAGGCACTCGTAGTTGAAGCGCAGGTGACATTCCAGCCGCACGATCTTCGTAGACTGGTTGATGTACTCCCTCACAGTGCCAAGGAGAATACTTCCGTAGAGAACTCGGATAAATGCAAAAATGTTCCAAAAGCCGGGTGAATTCATGATTGAAAAGGTTTACTCCGACTTAACATAACAAATTAATAACAAAAGGTACAGATGTTTCGCCACCTATGCAGGTGGCATCTTCAGTATACACTGACACAAATGAGGTGAGGTCGACCAGTCTACTTATCACACACGTCCCCGTAAACGTCCGGCAGGGGGCCACGGTTGGTGTTGCACACCGATGAGTCACGGCGAATGCACCAGGACTCGACGAATTTTCTTTGCCCCCACCTTTGTTCTCGGGCCAGCGTCGTCGCATTGGATAATGCGACGCATTGGATAACGCGACCTGCGTCGTCGCATTGGATAACGCGACCTGGATAATGCGACGACGCTGGCCCGAGAACAAAGGTGGGGGCAAAGAAAATTCGTCGAGTCCTGGTGCATTCGCCGTGACTCATCGGTGTGCAACACCAACCGTGGCCCCCTGCCGGACGTTTACGGGGACGTGTGTGATAAGTAGACTGGTCGACCTCACCTCATTTGTGTCAGTGTATACTGAAGATGCCACCTGCATAGGTGGCGAAACATCTGTACCTTTTGTTATTAATTTGTTATGTTAAGTCGGAGTAAACCTTTTCAATCATGAATTCACCCGGCTTTTGGAACATTTTTGCATTTATCCGAGTTCTCTACGGAAGTATTCTCTTTGGCACTGTGAGGGAGTACATCAACCAGTCTACGAAGATCGTGCGGCTGGAATGTCACCTGCGCTTCAACTACGAGTGCCTGAACAACAACGTGGTGCCCAGAAGTCTCCACTGCAAGACCCTCGTCGACACCCCCTATGGCCGCACGCTCGCACGGAACTTTAGCCGCAACTGCCTGAAAGC